ACCTAGCTGCCCCATTCTTCTAGTGTTTTTAACAGAAATGGGTGTTGTATTTTGTCAAATGCTTTTTCTGGGTCTCCTGAGATAATCACGATTTTTGTTGGTGTTATTGATATGGTGAATTATGCTGATAGTTTTTCTAATATTGAACCAGCCCTGCATTCCTGGTATAAATCCAGTCTGGCCACAGTAAATGATCTTTGTGATATACTGCTGGAGTCTGCTGGTTAATAGTTAAAACTTGTGCATCAATATTTATGAAGGATGTTAGTCTATAGTTTTCTTTCTCTGTTTTGATTCCCTGGTTTAGTATCAAGATCATGTTTTTGTTATAGGAGGAATTTGGTAAGACCCCTGCTTTTCTTACTGTTTCAAAGAATTTACGGATTATTAGAATTAATTCTTTAAAATGTTTGGTAAAATTTGCTTGTGAATCTATCTGGTCCTGCGGTATTTTCTTTGTGAGTTCATTTATGGTTTATCCAATTTCTTTTTTTAAGATAGGCCAAGTACCCTGGAGGAAATGAAGCCCAGGCTCTCAAAGGCTGTACAGCAGAATTCCAATCAAGGTCCTGTGTCTCTCAACCTGGCATCCTTCCCACAACCTCATTCTTCCCAAGCCTCCCCCCATCCCCCTTTTGGTTCCATTACAGATTTCAGACATTCTAATTTACATTTCATTTATTTTAGGAGTCTTCTCCCCCCTACTATACTGCAATCCCCTTGAGGGCAGAGTCCAGACCAGATTTCAGTCTGAATCTCCCCCAAGACTGAGGCCTTTCCTAAAAGCTTGTTGAATGAATGTCCTAGGTAGAAAAAGAGCCTCAGGGCTGCAAATCCAGCCTCAGGCCCTCAACCACTGGTAACATACACCCCATTAAACTTCTTGGCAGGGAAGGCGCCAGGGCCTTGTAACAAGGCTGACCCAGGGAGGCTAAGAGAGGGAATCAGGTTACCATCAACTCATGTTCCCCCTCCTTCACCTCAAGACAACACCTGTTACACAGAGACATTGGTTCCCCTTGGCCTCCCAACCCTCTCCGTCCTGAGAGCCAGCTGCCAATTCTGGCTCCACTGTTAAACCGCCACCAGACTTTGGTCAAGTCAGTTTCCTATTCTGTAAAACGAAGGTGGCCTAGGGATCACTCGCAGCTTTGACAGTCTATGTTCTGAAGCTCTTCAGCTCCCATATTCCATCATTCACGGACTCCTTTCAGCTCTAACCTTCGGTGACTCTAGAAAGACTGTCTTGGGGAACCAAACAGCAAAGTGTGACAGGCCCCTAACTGCCACCCACCTGGAGTGCAGGCACTCTACCTTGAGGTCATATACCTCAAAAGCTCTTGAATTTCACCTCATTTTACAAAGCAGGAAGCTACAGCCCAGAGTGGGGCAGGAACCAGTCCAAGGTCACTCCGGGTCAGGGACTGTCGTGGCCCAGGTCAGTGTCTCTGCTGCTATAAGCCAATGCATGTTCCCATGAAGGGCAGTCTATTTTTTCTCTCAGGCCTGAGAAAAGCACGTGTCGCTGAGGAGGCTGGAGGTTTCTGAAGGGGAACAGACTGTCAAACATGACTCATGTGTCTTCAGACCAAAAGGAGGACGTGAACAGTCACATGAGGGGCTTAAAAACCCAGTCTTCCAGGCATGGAGCCAGAGGATCCGTCAGCATGCAAGGAAGGGAGTTTGAAAAAGCTGGATGGCTGACACCTGGTGCTGAAGAGGAAGATACCGAAGATTCCATCCTCCTCAGGCCGCTGGTTCCCTTGTCCAAGGGTCACATCAAACAATCAACCAGCATTTATTAAGCTCCTACTGTGTGCCAAGCACAAGGGTACCAAGACAAAACATGAAATGATCCCTTATGTTCTAATGGCTGAGATAAGCACATTTATGAATCATAATACACCAATCACAAGTATAATGAGAACACACACACACTCACACACAGCAGTGAAATCCAAGGTAGTTTGGGAGAATGGACACTGGGGGGAGGGGATCAGGAAAGGCCAGCCTCACACAGAAGAGGTGGAAATGGGGTACTGGGTACAAGGGCCTGATATGGGAAGGCAGCTCTGCGGCACAGCAGGAGAGGCCCAGAGCGCCGTCCAGCTCCAGGCTCCCTGCCTCCCCATAAGATCCCTCAGGGTAAACCCTCTTTTCCTTTAGGAGCTTCTGCCAGCCTCTAGCACAGCGGGTGGTAAAGCCCTGATCTCGAGCTCCCACTGAGCTCAGACATTCTCTTTTCCAAGAGCACTGTTTGTCTCAAGCTGTGTATCCTATGACAAAGCATGGAGCTGGTTTTGATCTAAACAACCACTCTGAAATGTCACCCCACTGCTTAAAAAGCTGCCCAGCCAGCTGAAGGGGCACACTAGGTCTCACCCCCACCCCCCAACACAGTCCGTGGACAAGATAACTTCTTCAACAGGCATCATTCACCCCCCACCCTGTTTCGCTTTCTATAAACCCAAGAAGAGAAACCTTTATCCTGTCTTGGATGGGTCTTGGAGGCACTGGCAGGCCAAAGGAGGGGAACAGGTGGAAATCCTCTGGCGTCACAGCTCTGCATGATCACATGGCCCTTGCCTCCTCCTGCTCAGCAGACAAACCAGCAATGCCTTCTCCCTGGAGTTTGCTGAAGTCTGGCCTCCACCACCCTGCTTCTAACACCCTTAGGATCTACAGGCCAGTCAACATGCATTTACTAAACGCCAAGCACACATCCTCAAGGAGCAATCCGGCCTCTATGTAAAACATGGACAATGGATCAAGTTCCTGGAGACCCAACCTCAGCCCGGGAAGGGCAGCCATGGGATCTGTGGGGGCTTACTCCCCCCTGGGCCTCACTGCCTCGGCCACAAGGAGAACCCAGGTGGCTTCTCTTGAGGAAAATGAAATCCTGCCTAGAAAGCACTGCCAGTGACTCAGGCAGGCTGGAGAGAAATGCCCAGGATGGAACATCCTGGCAGGAAGGGCCACGGCTGGGGAAGGCTGGGGAAGGTAGACCCTGAGGCCAACAGAACTATGGAGAAAGGAATCTGCATTCGAGTCGCCTCCTTCTCTTACCCCCCCCCCCCCACCTTCTTGGACTTCAGGGTCCCCTTTAGCTCCTGAATATGACCCAGGTTTGCCAGACTTTGGGCACTGTGACAACCATGTCACCCTCACCTTGATCACTGGGTCCCCTTCTCCCTTACTCCCCATCCCGTGACACCAGCCTCCTGGCTGCCTCTGTCCCATCCCCATGCCTAGGATGCTCTTGAGCGCTGTCTCCCTCCCTCCTTCCTCCCTGGCTTTCTTTTATCCACCTGTAGAAGGAAGCCTTTCCCCAACCCCAATTCACTCCAGTGCCCTCCCTCTGCTAATTATTTCCTATTTATCTTCTACATCGTTTGTTTGTACATAGTCATTTGCCTGTTGTCTCCCCGTTAGAGTGTAAGCTCCTTGAAGGTAGGAACTATCTTTTGCCTTTCTTCATATCCCTAATACTTAGCACAGCGTCTGGCACACAGAAGGCACTTAATAAATGCTTACTGGCTGACTGAATTCCCTCCCCATTCGTGTTTGGGTCTTAACCATGCACTTGCAGGCCCAGCTCAAATGACCCATCTTCAGTTGCCGGAGTTGGAGCGGCTCCCTTGTGTCTGCTCCCGGCCCCCTCTACTACTCTCCCACCTGTAGGGAGACCCCCTAGCTTTCTCGTGGGGCCCCACTCCAAGGACCTGCATTCTGCCCAAGATCAAAGGTGCTCTCAGGAGCAGCACAGCTTTCCTTCTCCCCCTCCATCCTAAGCAACCCCCTTCTCCATCTGGGGGCACAGGGAGGGGGCAGCTGGAGAACCTAGGTGAATCATTCAGCCACTTCTCCCCATTGTGTGACCCAAGGCCAGTCACTGAGGCTCACCTGCAAAGGGAGGACCAGGCCGCACTACTGACCTGCCATGCCCCTCCACCTCTAGAAGCCCTCGTCCTGCCCTCAGCACCCAGCCAGCCGCCTCCCTGTTGTCGTCCCACCCCCAGCTCAACACTCCAGTTTCCTTGAAAATTGCCTCCCTCCCAGGAAGAACCAACTTTTGGAAACCCTCCCCTAGGTCCGGGGCTTTCTTAATAGGCTAACTGACCCCTGCCCTCTGCCGTGCTGCCCCCAGGACGCAGCCCTTATTAGCAGACTCTAGAACCTGAAAAACCACCTTCACCCTGCCCCCAGGCCACAGTTCCACTTCCAAGGTGCCTTCCAGAACCAGCCAACTTTTTCCACCAAAGACCATCCCCTAAAACAAACTTCCTCCTCCTCCTCCAAGCTGCCCACCAAGCTCCCCCAAACCACTTTTACTCTCTCCACCAGCGCCTCCAGAACCAACTTCTCTCAACGGGGGGGGGGGGCCTACTTCCTTTGGAACAGCCCCCCCACCACAAAAACTCCTCTTCTTAGCCACCCCCTTCCCAGCAACCCATCCTCCAGGATGCCACCCTGCCCCTCCGCCCCCTGACAAGGACCCCCAAATTCCCTCTCCTGCAGGGTCTTCTCGGGACTAACTTCTTGACCAGCCCCTCCGCGACTGACCACAGTCTGTTTTCCCCCTCCTCTAGGCTGCCCTCTGGGACTGACCACA